GTTACCAGGAAAGGATTGAGCCTGGGCTCCCTCGAGAAAGGCAGGACGTCCGACCGCGCGCGACACGCACAGGCACCCCGCCTCAGGTGGAGGACGCGCGCGAACTGGACCCAAACCAGCCGCGCGGGGCTAGAACGCCAGTCTGAGCCTGCGCGGCGCACGCGCAGACGTGCAGGCAAGGACCTGGGTGAGAGCGAAGAGGAGTATGCGCAGACCCAGGTAGAGACGCGAACAGAGACCCGGGGCGCATGCGCAAACGCGGGTGGCAGACCGGCCGGGGAGGCGCATGCGCAGAAAGCGCTCCGCGAGCCGCGGCCTCTGGGCATCGACAGTTCCGGACATCAGGCCACATCCGGAAGTCCGTGGAGAGCTCTTCCGATGTTCAGCCTTTGATTCCTCAACAGCCACTTCCACTTCCGCAGACAGTTCCGTTCCTCTTCCCGCCGTCCGCGAGAGTGTCCCAATAGGAAGTACCCGCCGATCCTGTTTTGTTTCCGGGGGAATAAGCTACTCTGAAGGAACGCTCGGGACGTCCGGTGTCTATCTCAGCCTCTGATTGGATAGTTTTTTGAATAATTAGAGTGCAAGACAAAACGGTATTTTTTGTTGCTTATACATTAACTTAATAAACGAAATGAAGGATGCACGTTTGTTATCTCTTGATGTGGGTATTTCTTCCCCGGGTTTTCTGTAGCGAGCCAACGAAAATTTCACCATCAGTGTAAAGTAGTTCTATTGTTGTGCCTTAAATAGCGCACAAGTGCTATGCGCAGCTGTGTTGTATGAAAGGAGAGAAGGTTAGCACTCCCCTTGACAAGGATGGAAGAGGCCCTTGGGCCTGACAACACGCATACGGTTAAGGCATTGCCACCTACTTCGTGGCATCTAACCAACGTTTTGATCACGTATTGTTAACTTTTCTGCCAGTCCTAGGGCTTCAACTCAGCGCCTGGGCATTGTCCCTGAGCTTTTGCTCAAGGTTAGCCCTCTACCACTTGAATCACAGCACCACTTCTGTCTTTCTGTTTAAGATACTGAGAAATCGAACCCAGGGCTTCATGCATGCTAAGCAAGCACTCTACCATTGAGCCACATTCCCAACCTCTAGCACCCAGCTTTAAAATGGTTTCAAGAAGGGTACATCACCCTTGCAATAAAATAAAAAAATAAAATTGAAAAAAAATAGGATATACCTCAGATTGCTGAATAAATAGCAGGGTGATCTGGGCCCCAATGGCTCACACCTGTAATCCTAGCCACTCAGGAGGCTGAGATCTGAGGATAGAATTTCAAAGCCAGCCCAGGCCGAGTGGCATTGTAGCGCAAAGGGCTAGAGCTGTAGCCTTGAGCTGAAGAGCTCAGGGATAGTGCCCAAGCTCAGAGTTCAAATCACATGAGTGACAAAAAGAAAAATATCAGGGTGCTGGTATTTTTTTTTTTTTTGAGATTCTCCAGTACTGTTCTCCCTGTAGTCACCTTATATAAATATATTTCAAATTAGCCAGTCACAGCAGATTGTGAACCAATTGTTCAACCAATCTGAGCAGAGGGAGGGGATAAATATGAGCAAATGGCCTACTCTGTGCTTGTTGGACTTTCAGCTAAGAGTGCACCCTTCTGCAGAAGCAAATTTTGCCTTGCTGAGACAGTTCTTTGAGTCCAAGGAGAGCACATTTATAACAAGTTGTAGAAGCACCAGCCTTGAGTGAAAAAAGCTTAGGGACAGTGCCCCTAAGTCCAGCCCCAGGGTTTGCAGACCAGCTTGGCCAGCTCCCTGCCCCACACTTGGGCCTAGCTCATGTCCATATTGAGCACCCTGTTCTCAGGGCAAGAGGGATGACCATGAAGGTGGCTGAGGAGGTGAACACCTACTGGGCCCGGTGTTCTGGCAGACAGGAAACCTGCAATCAGGAACCCTAATGGAACAAGCAACCCTGTCCATCAAGGCCATGAGACACCTTAAAAGCTGGATAGCATAGCTCCTTCCTTCTTTTTTCGGAGGGAGAGTGGGGAAGGGGCTGGTTCTAGGCTTGAACTCAACCTGGGTACTGTCCCTGAACTTCTTCTTGCTCAGGGCAAGCACTCTACCTTTCTTCCTTTTTTTTTAAGCGCTCTACCACTTGAGCCACAGCACCACTCCGGCTTTTTTCTTTTTGCTTATGTGGTGCTGAGGAATCAAACCCAGGGCCTCGGGCATGCAAGGCAAGCGCTCTACCACTGAGCCATCTTCCCAGCCCCTCTTCCTTCTTTTCTTTCTGGCCTTTTCTGAGTTTATTGGACACAAATCTCCCGGACTTTCCCGCCTGGGCTTTGAACTGAGATCCTCAGATCTCATTTCAGTCCTTTGCGTTTGGTTACAGGCGTGACCCACTGGTGTTCAGCTCCTTCCCATTTTTTTGAACCACCATTCCATCACTCTAGTAAATTGTCCATAAGTTTTTTTTTTGGTTTTTTGTCAGTTATGGGGCTTGAACTCTGGGCCTAGGCGCTGTCCTCAGCTCTTCAGCTCAAGGCTAGCACTCTACCCTTGAGCTACAGTGCCACTTCTGGTTTTCTGGTGATTTACTGGAGATAAGAGCTTCACCGCCTTTCCTGCCCAAGCTTTGAACCGAGATCCTCAGATCTGTCTCCTGTGTAGCCAGGATTACAGGCGTGAGCCACCAGCGCCCGGCTTTGTCCCTAAGTTTTTAAGTGCCAGAGTGTTCCATCCTTGTAAAGCCTTTGTACAGCACTTGCCTCCGATCATCCGAATCCTCAGCTGTCACATCAAGGCTAGTCTTCCCATGCCATCCTACTACGAGGGGCATCTCGTTCTGCTGCACCCTTGGTGATGGATGCCTCCAGGACAGTTAACCTGTTGGCTATATTAAATGTAATTAACCCAACTTTTTCATTTATGGTGGACTACCAGAATAGAGACAACTCAAAACTGCTGATACCTTATTTCTGGCTTATTTATTTTTATGCCAATACTGAGCAGGAGTTCCCCTTGCTCTCCAGTTTCCTGTCGTGACTGACGCCTATAATGCTAGCTATTCAGGATGCTGAGATCTCAGGATGACAGTTCAAAGCCAGCCTCACCCCCAATTAACCACCAAAAGTGGATGTGTGGCTCAAGTGTTAAAAGCCACTACCCTTGAGCAAAACAGCTCAGGGAAGCCAGGCACAGGTGGCTCACACCTGTCATCCTAGCTACTCAGGAGGCTGAGATCTGAGGATCGCAGTTCAAAGCCAGCCTGGGCAGGAAAGTCTGTGAGACTCTTATCTCCAATAAACCACCAGAAAACTAGAAGTGGCGCTGTGGCTCAAGCAGTAGAGCGCTTGCCTTGAGCTGAAGAGCTCGAGGGATAGCGCCCAAGCCCAGAGTTCAAGCCCGATAACCGACATAAAAACAAAAACAGGGGCTGGGAAGGTAGCTCAGTGGTAGAGTGCTTGCCTTGCATGCATGAGGCCCTGGGTTCGATTCCTCAGCACCACATAAGCAAAAAGAAAAAAGCTGGAAGTGGCACTGTGGCTCAAGTGGTAGAGTGCTAACCTTGAGCTGAAGAGCTGAGGGACAGCGCCCAGGCCCAGAGTTCAGGCCCCACGACTGGACCCAAATAACAGAAACAGCTCAGGGACAGCAACCAGGCCCTGAGTTCAAGCCTGTCACACACACATACACACACACACACACACACTACACCACCAAAATAAGTTTGTGCTGTTCAAAATGAAATTCTGAGACAAAATTACAAGACATGAAAATCTTTATTTTCAAAAAGAATGTCTTTTTACACAAATCTACAACAGAATTCAACTGTAGAAAAAATAAACTATCCTCCGGAACACAGCTCTGGACACAGTGAGCTCCCATCCCTCCTGGAGGGCTGCCCACTTAGGGCAGAGCTGGAAAGGCCTCATCCTGCCAGGACACCCAGATAGATGCTACATGAAGCCCAGACCCCTGTCACAGAAGCCACCCTGTGCAGCCACGGGCCTCTTCAACCAGGGAGCCTGTCTGCACCTCTCCAAAGGAGAGCCAGGCGAGCTGCCTTTCTCCCTTGCGGATCCATTTAGGACTGAGTTGCCCCCTACCTTAGTGGACAGTTTTAGAGGACTCCAGAGCCTGGTGCCCCATCATACCACAGGCCAAGCTGACTGATCACGTCTGAGGCACCAGCAGACTGGGGCCACCAGGCTCCCCCAACAGCACCAACCCCGGCTACGGGACTCAGGCTGACGCCCCCTCCCCACACACCCGTGACCAACCGTGTGCAGCTCTGAGCCCAGCAGCCCTCTCCCCAGACCACTGCAAAGGTCCCAGCTGGGAGGTCAGGCTGGGGTAACAGTGAGTGGTGTCCCACGAGGAGTCTCCTCCAGAGGATGCAGAGGCTGTGGGGAGGGGAGGAGAGTGGGGGAAGACAGGGATGGGAAGAGCTATGCCCCTCCCGAGCTAATCAGCCTGGCCTGATCTGACTAGTAGAGGCACCATCTCTCTACATCACAGCACCAAAAGGCCGTTTTCGGCCCGACCCCTTCCAGCTGAGAAGCTGCCACTCTCACTGCCACACCTGGCGTTCTGTGCCCTCACTGTGCCCACAGGAAGCTGGCTGTTGGGAGGGAACAGCCGGTCTGTGGCGGGAGACCCTTTTAGCTCAAGCGTGTGTGAAACTTTCTAAATGTCAGGGAGAGATCAGCTCACATCAGAACTCAGGGACCACAGCCCACGGTAACCCGCACCCTGCCCCTGCCACAGAACTGTGGACACCATCCACAGTCCCGCCACCAGCGCCAGCAATACAAAATGACTCCATGCAGAACACACCTGTGCTCTCCAGTGACATCGTCAACCACTGGAGGCAGGCTAGGAGCCAGGGACAGGGCGGGGACACAGGGACTAGCCTGCAGGAGACCAGGCAGCCGGGGGCCAGAGGGCCTGACAACAGCGTCACGTTGGGTAGTAAAGTATCAAAAGGGTACAGAACTATTACTGGAAAAAACACAACCCATGATAAATCGAACGTCACTCTTGTGTAATAAAAAAATTAAAAATTTGTGTTGCCTCTGGGCACGGAACAGACAGGAACTCCCGAGTGGACGAGGACAGACAATTGGCAAGAAATGTCCCAGCGACTGGTAGAACCCTCCGGCGCCAGCGGTGGCACGTCCCCTCTGCCAGTGCCTTCACAGAGGAGCTGCGCTCGGGCCTGTCTCCGGTGCCCCAGGTCCCCCAGGTCCCCAGGCCCCGGAAGCCCCGGCCACACGCACGTTTGTTTCTTGCCAGTCCAGGTCTTCTGACTGCAGTCTCTGGCGGCCGGGACTCAGCAGTCGCTCTTCCACAACTTAATCGTCTTGTCATTCTCCAAGGCGGCGGAGGCGATGATGTTTTCCGTGGGGTGACAAGCCGTTGAGATCACAACATCTGGAAGCCCAGGAGACTCGGTCAGGGCGCCATCGCCCACCAAGCTCTGTGCCCTGTGCCCAGCTGACCACAAGGAGCTCAGTGCAAGCAATTGGAAGCACTAGGCAGCCCACTCTGCCAGGGCGGCCAGCAGCCCCACCTCCGGCAGCACGCTCTCCTCTGGGCTCCAGCTGGCTGCTCCTACTGCCACCTGCACGGCCCTCAGCCCTGGGGGGCTGTTCTGCCCCAGTGGTGGCACACCAGGGCCCAGGCAGAAGTTGGCTGGCACCACCAAGCTGCTACCCACACGCTGACCGCACTGTGCCATGGGGCCCCAGGCCTGCCTGGTGCCTTCACAGCCACAGCCTGGGTGTGGAGGGTGACAGCAGGTGAGTCCCCACACTCAGGGCTGTGTGCTCCCGGCTGGGGCAGCTGCCCTTGTTTCCCCTAACACAGCTGCGGGCAGGAACAGCGAGGATCAGGGAACTACTGGAGCCACTGATAAGAGCCAGACAGCGGGCGCTCACCAGGCACGCGCAGGCTGGCTCTGTGAGGAACCAACACCAGCATCTGAAAGGGGCTGGGGACTCAGGGGAACCCAGCTCCCCACCACAGAGGCAGCCACAGTCTGCCAGCCCAGGACCTGAGTCAGGACCTGAGACCCAGCAAATGCAACTACAGCAGCCTCCAAACCAGCTACATCCTCTCAGGCCTGCCGGGCTGAGGAAGCTGCACAAAACGTGCTCTGTCCCCTCAAGGCAGAGAGGGCCCTGTCCCCCAATGTGGGGAGTACCCTGTCCCCCCAAGGTGGGGAAGGTACACAGAGCAGAGCCCACCTGTGTGGCCCTGCAGCTTCTGCACGATCTCCTTGGTCTGCAGGTTCCAGATGTACACAAGGTTGTCCTCGGAGCCAGATACAATCCACTGGGCCACCGCAACAGTGCAGGAAAAAACACAAGGTCAGGGTTCAGCAGCCACAAACAAACCTTCCCATCTCTTTCCACCCTCTGGTAACTACGTGCAAACAAGCGCAGGGCTTCCCCTTGTCTCCCCAGGGCCTGGCACCTCACATGCCCTCACAGGAGGCTTTCTGGGCGAAGGTGCTCCTTAGGCCACTATACTCTCAGTGTGTCTCAGTGTAGCCCAGGATATTCAGACAAGGACAGGGCCACCAGTGCCCTGAGTCACGCAGGTGCATCTTGACAGGGCCACAGCCCAGCCCTAGAGGGGGCCACCTGGCCTGCTAACAAGGCAGACTGCGAGGCAGCTGGCAAGTCCCCCCGTTCACCACAGTGTGGCACCTGCTTGGCACACCGTGTTTTGCCTTGGGCACAGGGAAGGCTCCACCTGGGTCACATGACCCTGTAGAGGCGCGCTGGGGGCGAGCAGGTTCAGTGAGGACTCACCTTCCCGCCAGTTACAGAGAAATTGGCAAATATGCAGTACTTCTCATTCTTGTGGCCAGTGTAAGTCTTCAGGCACTGAAAAGACAGGAAAGGTCCTTAGCACCAGAGCTGCCACACATCCCACAGGCACAGACGCCACACCGCTCAGGAGCTGAGACCTGGACGGCACTGCACACATCCCACAGGCACAGACGCCACACCGCTCAGGAGCTGAGACCTGGACGGCACTCCAAACCCACACAGGCACAGACACCACACCGCTCAGGAGCTGAGACCTGGACGGCACTCCACACACACACAGGGCCAGACGCCACACCGCTCAGGAGCTGAGACCTGGACGGCACTCCACACACACAAACAGGGCCAGACACCACACCGCTCAGGAGCTGAGACCTGGACGGCACTCCACACACACACAGGGCCAGACACCACACCGCTCAGGAGCTGAGACCTGGATGGCACTCCACACACACACAGGGCCAGACATCACACCGCTCAGGAGCTGAGACCTGGATGGCACTCCAAACACACACAGGGCCAGACACCACACAGCTCAGGAGCTGAGACCTGGACGGCACTCCAAACTCACACAGGTGCAGAGCCTTGACAATCCAAGCAGCAACCACAGACCAGTGGCCCATAAAACCCGGGTCTGTCAAACATCTAAACCACAGCACCTCTGTGAACACCCAGAATCCCTCCTGCTTCAGCCCTGAGGAGCCTGTGGCCCTCACCACCTTGTTCCCCAGGCCAAGCCAGCAGGGCAGAGCTCACCTTCCCCTTGCTGTAGTCCCAGAGTTTCAGTGTGCTGGAAGACAAAGAAGAGGTTGAGGGGCTGCACATCTGAGCTGTGCCCAGCCTGTTACCACCTCATCATGACAATGGTCAGAACCAAGTGAGAGCCCTACCCCAAGGGGGCACCAGCTCTGACAGAGGTTGGCATCCACCACATGCAGCCAACCTATGCACACAGGAGCAAGAACAAAACTCCAAATCCCTGCAGTTCAAGGGTACTTCTGCAACGAGGCAGCTGAGTTACTACTGTCCCTGGATCAGAGGCCAGTCTCACGGACAAGCTGCAGGGCCAGGGTGGCAGCACACACCTGCAATTCCTTCTGCAGCCTTGTGCCTGTCTCACTCCATATCCAAAGGCAACAGCCTCCCCTGCAGTCCCTCAAGGAGCGGGTGGGGCCCCAAACCCAGTCTGCCAGAGCCTAGGCATCCCCACACCCCAGGGAAGTAAGAGTGCTTACTTGTCCAGCGTGGCAGCCAGGATGTATTTGCCATTCGGAGAGAACTTCACGAAGGACACCGGGGGGTTATCGTCATCTGCGCAGGGGACAAGCCACATGACGACCAGAGACCGGAGAGGCAGCCAGCTCCATCACCCATGCCACCAGTGCCAACCCTTCCCGTCTCGGCCATGCACCAGTCCCTTAGTCACCAGGATGTGAGGAACAAAGGACCTGAGGCAAGCCACACTAGGACTAGGACCTGACCCTCGTAGGGTGTCCTCAGGTGTGCGCCCATGAGCCTCAGGGACCACCTCATGTGGCATCCTTGCAGATGCCCAAGGATGCTAACATTTTTTCCGGAGCAGCAACAGTGTGGCAGCTGCAGGCATCCACCCACTCTGGAGCTCAGCCCTCACTTCTACTTCTGATGCCCTGACTCTTCAGGCCTTGGGGGACAAGAGGAGGGGCAGAGCCAGGCCTGCTGGAAAAGGCGATGCAAAGGCCAGTTTCCAGGGTGCAATGGGTGAGCCTCACATAGCACGCCCAGGAGGCTGCCCTGGCCAGGTGCAAAGGGAGGGTGTGCCGAGGGCGTTGTGTCTGCCTGTGAGGTTGGAGCACACGCATTACCACCACAGGCGCGCTGGGGGTTCTGCTCCCTCGGGCTGGTCACCCACACTGCAAAGGCACACACGACACAGTGTGAGCTACCGGATGGGTACACGTGCAGCCCACCATGAGGGCTGTGCTCTTCCTTCCTGTGCAGAGAGGATGCTGGGGTGAACCCAAGGTCTGGCTCACAGTAGACAAGAACTCGATCAGTCAGCATCAAGGGTCTTTGTCCCATCACCTCAGCAACACAGGCCTGTCTTGCATCCTATTCCTAGCCCCAAGGGAGGAGAGCCTGGCGGCCCACGGTCCGCAGCCCAGCCCTCACTCCCCCAGCATACAGTCTGCAGCAGAGGTACTCAGCTGCCAACTCCCCCCCCCCCCCCCCAATCATCTGTCACTTCTCCTGGGTTCATCCAACTGCAGATAGAAAACCCAGCGAGATGTGTCAGGTCACAATCCTAGCTCTCAGGAGGATTACATCCAAGGATCAAGGTTAAAAGCCAGCCCAGGAGGAAAAGTCCATGAGACTCTTATTGCCAGTTAACCATCAAAAGCTGTGGCTCAAGTGCTAGTCTGGAGCACAAAAGCTCGAAGACAGTGCCTCCAGATCCAGCAAAAAGGGGGAAGGGGATATGAAGGTGCGGTTCAGTTGGTAGAGCCCCAGTCACTGAGCGAAAAGTGTCAGGTACCAAGTTTGAGTCCCCAATCTCAGCCACCTCCCAAAAAATGGCCAAAAAAAATATTCCAACAGAACTTAAGTTACCATAAGGCAAATAGAAGCTTGAATATGAGTGAAAAGGAGCACTGAGCAGCATGGGCGGCACAGGACTACGGCTGCAGCACTGAGCAGTGCAGGGGAGCGCATGGGACCACGGCTGAAGCACTGAGCAGTGCAAGGGAGCGCATGGGACCACGGCTGCAGCACTGAGCAGTGCAGGGGAGCGCATGGGACCACAGCTGCAGCACTGAGCAGTGCAGGACAGCACGGGACCACAACTGCAGCACAGTGCAGTGCAGGGGAGCGCATGGGACCACGGCTGCAGCACTGAGCAGTGCAGGGGAGCGCATGGGACCACAGCTGCAGCACTGAGCAGTGCAGGGCAGCACAGGACTACGGCTGCAGCACTGAGCAGTACAGGGGAGCGCATGGGACCACGGCTGCAGCACTGAGCAGTGCAGGCGGCACAGGACTACAACTGCAGCACTGAGCACCATGGGGCTACACAGGACCATGGCTGCAGCACTGAGCAGTACAGGGGAGCACGGGACCACAACTGTAGCACTGCGCAGTACAAGGGAGCGCATGGGACCACGGCTGCAGCACTTAGCAGTGCAGGGCAGCACAGGACCACAGCTGTAGCACTGAGCAGTGCAGGGCAGCACGGGACCACGGCTGCAGCACTGACCAGTACAGGGGAGTGCATGGGATCATGGCTGCAGCACTGACCAGTGCAGGGGAACACATGGGACCATGGCTGCAGCACTGACCAGTGCAGGGGAGCATGGGACCACAGCTATAGCACTGAACAGCATGGGAGGCATGGGACCACGGCTGCAGCACTGAGCAGCATGGGCAGCATGGGACCACAACTGCAGCACTGAACAGTGCAGGGGAGCACAGGACCACAGTTGCAGCACTGAGCAGCATGGGACCATGGCTGCAGCACTGAGCAGTGCAGGGGAGGCATGGGACCATGGCTGGAGCACTGAGCAGTGCAGGGGAGGCATGGGACCACGGCTGCAGCACTGAGCAGCATAGGCAGCATGGGACCACAGTTGCAGCACTGAGCAGCATGGCAGCATGGGACCACAGCTGCAGCACTGAGCAGCATGGGTGGCATGGGACCATGGCTGCAGCACTGAACAGTGCAGGAGAACACAGGACCACAGCTGCAGCACCGAGCAGCATGGGTGGCATGGGACCATGGCTGCAGCACCGAGCAGCATGGGTGGCATGGGACCATGGCTGCAGCACTGAGCAGTGCAGGGGAGGCATGGGACCACGGCTGCAGCACTGAGCAGTGCAGGGGAGGTATGGGACCATGGCTGCAGCACTGAGAAGTGCAGGGGTGGCATGGGACCATGGCTGCAGCACTGAGCAGTGCAGGGGAGGCATGGGACCACGGCTGCAGCACTGAGCAGTGCAGGGGAGCACGGGACCACAGCTGCAGCACTGAGCAGTGCAGGGGAGCATGGGACCACAGCTGCAGCACTGAGCAGTGCAGGAGAGCATGGGACCACAGCTGCAGCACTGAGCAGTGCAGGAGAGCATGGGACCACAGCTGCAGCTTTGAGCAGCAAGGGGTGGCACAGGCCCACTGGCTGCAGCTCCAAGCCTGCACCCTCCCCAGTACCATCAGTACTGGCCACATGCCCCCTGCTGTCACCAGGCCTAAGTAAAAGTAGTGAAAGTCTGACAACTGTTACAATCCATCTGAAGACATACAAAGCACACAGGAGTGTGCTCAAACACCACACCATCTTCTAAAAGTTCTTCAGTATCCATTGAAGGTCCTGGAGCCAAAGGGATGACTGGCATGTTGGGTGACTGACTTGTTAGCCTGCAGGTGCCCACCCTTTAAAGCCAGGACATACCTATGGGGGAGGGGGGGTAGGAACCTTGGTGCTCATTACCACAGCACTAACACCTGCCACAGGCCACCAGGAAGGACTGTCCTAGAGACAGAGCTGGGTGCCACTCTGGGAGGAAGACACCTGACCCTAGGATGCCGCTAGGGAAGCTGGGGTGCAGTAGGCCTCCCACAGGTACAGCACAAGGTCATGGTCCCAGCTCAGTCCCAGCAGGTGACCATACTGAGGCTGCCTCCTCTATTTGTCCTTAGAAGAGAAGCCAGACACAGACAGGGAAAAGATGGCGTCTTCAAGGTAAGGACAGCCAAGAAGCAGCAATCTGCTGACCCAACCCGGATGTCCACACTTGTTACCAAAGTCTAGGAAAGCAAAAGAGCCGGAGGCACTGCCTCCCTGGTGGACCCACCTCTCTTCCCCACCCCTACCCCACCCCCAAGGCCATGCTGGCAGAGATCAGCAAGCCAGGCCAGTCCTCTCCATTCTGACCTGAGGCTCCCATGCTTCAGGCTGGCACATAATGACCAGCCTCTTCAACATCAACCCCTTCCAAGTCCCACTACCTCAACCCCTGACCCCTGACCTGCCTGCACGGGCCATGCCAGTCCTCCTCCTTCCTCACCTCATCCCTGCACTCCTATTCCCAGACTTTGTATCCACCTCCCTAACACCGAGGAAGGTGACCAGGAGTGGCCAGGGGTGGCCAGGGACTGACAAGAACAGGTAGAGAGCCCATGGCCCAAGGTCGCCACAGAGTAACCCCAGATAGACAGCCCAGGCCATGGGCCCAAAGAGCAGAAAGAAGACCTGGCAGCAGTTCCACAAAGGAATGACAGAGCTCTTTGCAGATATGGGGGCTCAGGTAGAAGCGGGAGGGGGGGGAGGATGGTCCAGTGGAGAGGAGGCCTCCAAAGGCACCAGGACCGAGACAAAAAGGCAGGCTGAGCTCAGAACAGAAGGCTCCAGAAGAACCACTGCAAGCACAGACAGAGAACACCTTGGGAGAAAGGCCTCCCTGGCAGGCCTGAGCAGACACTGAGCCCGGAGCCAACCCCATGTGGCATGGAGCACTCACCGATGAGTGTCTTCAGACACTGGCCCGACGCGGTGTCCCAGATGCGGCTTCAAAGCAAGAACAAAAACGAAACATGAGAAAGCCAATGGCTGCACCGCCGGTGACAGTCCTCATCTTCCGGCACCATCGTCCTCCACCGTCAGGACAGAGGCGAGTCCTGGGCCTGCAACTGGTCTTCAGCTGTCAGCCTGCACCCCAGCCAGGGACAAAGGCAAAGGCGTCCCACCCCTCCTCCACAAGGGAGCAAGCAGGCCTACCATGTCACCAGCCCCCAGGTGGGTGGGCGACACACCCTGGCAAAGGCCTTGCAGCTCTGCCTCCTCCACAGCATACAGTCCACGGGCAGAATCAGCTTTCTTAAACCTGAGGCTGGATTCAATTTCCTGAACAGCCCATTATTTAAGCAGTGAGATGGCTCATGCCTATAATCCTAGCTGAGAAGGCTGAGATCTGAGGATCAAGGTTTGAAACCAGACCAGGAAGGAAAAAAGTGACTGTTATCGCCAATAAACTACTCAGAAAAAGCCAGAAGCAGCACTGCAACTCAAGTGTTAGAGCGCTAACCTTGAACAAAAGCTCAGGCCCTAAAATCAAGCCCCAGGACTAGCACAAAAAAAAAGGAAAAAAGAAAAATCCTTAACGATTGGGACTCTGGAACAGACAAGCTACCCTGCTACCAGCCCAGTTCCAGCGTTTCTGAGACTCCTGCCAACGCCCGCACACAGTGCAAACACGCCTGCCAACACTGCCAGCCCCACCTGCCATGGCGGACTCCCACTTGGGTACCTGGCCCAAGCTGGGCCTCACCAGTGCCCAGGGTGTTAATTCATGTCTGCCTGCTGTGGCGTGGCCCCTATCACCGCATGGGACCCAGTACTGGGCTTCAGCACTGCCTTTGAACTATGTGCCCAGCCTCTCCCAGGCCTCCTTCCCCCTCCTTTCCTTAATTCTCCTGGCACTCAATTCAAATGTTCCATGATAGATTTTGTTTTGGCACAGAGGCAATCTGCTTTCTGGGCCTCCCCAGTAGGGTTTTATTCTCTTTATACTCTCTTCTGCCTTACAGAACTGACCCCCCCCAACTACCCCTCCTCCAACTGCCCGCTGTCCTCAACGGGACATCGTCACACTCACTGCGTCCTGCTCTCCTGAACCTGCTCCTGACCCCCGCAGTACAGGCCATCCTGTGAGACCTTAACCCCACTTCTAGCACAGAAAAAGGGGACTGATCTCTGGTGCAGCTGGTATAGCCTATGGCTGAACCAGGGCTCTACAACTCACACAGGCTGGACCCTGGCCTGTCACCAGCTGAAGGACAACTGGCAGTTATTTATCCAGTTCCCCAAGAGAAAGTAAGGATGGGGCTGGGAATCAGTGGTAAATTGCTTGCTTCACATGCATGAGGCCCTGGGTTCGAGTCCTCAGTACCACATAAGCAGAAAAGGCCAGAAGTGGTGCTGTGGCTCAAGCGGTATAGCACTAGCCTTGAGCTGAAGAGCTGAAGGACCAGTGCCCAGGCCCAGAGTCCAAGCCCCACAACTGACCAAAATAGTAAGGATGATAAGAATCATAGACATGTCACCGAGTTAAGTGGGCACAGCACTACACTGGTGCTTTTTGTTTTTTGATTTTTGGTGCCCTCAACTGGGGCTTGGTCACAGGGCCTAGGAGCTGTCTGGGCTTCTTCCCTCAAGACCAGCATCCAATCACTTGAGCTACAGCTCCATTTCTGGTTTTGCAGTGGTTAAGTGTATCAAAGAGTCTCACAGGGCTGGGAAGGTGGCTCAGTGGTAGAGCGCTTGCCTTGCATGCATGAGGCCCTGGGTTCAATTCCTCAGCACCACATAAGCAGAAAGAAAAAAGCCGGAAGTGGTGCTGTGGCTCCAGTGGTAGAGTGCTAGCCTTGAGCTGAAGAGCTGAGGGACAGCGCCCAGGCCCAGAGTTCAGGCCCACGACCAGACCCAAATAAAAAGTCTCACTTTCCTCTTCAAGCCTGCTTCAAACTGTGATCCTAGCATCTCAGCCTCCAGAATAGCAAGGATTACAGGTGTGAGCCACTGGCACCCAGCCCAGCTTGTCTTTAGAATTTTTTTTTTTGCCGGTCATGGGACTTGAACTCTAGGCTTGAGCTCTACCACTTGAGCCACAGTGCCACTTCCCCAGCTTGTTTTTAAAAACCTAAAAATGTGCCAGGCGCTGGTGGCTCACGCCTGTAATCCTAGCTACTCGGGAGGCTGAGATCTGAGGATCTCGGTTCAAAGCCAGCCCAGGCAGGAGAGACCGTGAGACTCCTATCTCTAATAAACCACCAGAAAACCGGAAGTGGCGCTGTAGCTCAAGTGGTAGAGCACTAGCCTTGAGCTGAAGAGCTGAGGGACAGCGACCAGGCCCAGAGTTCAAGCCCCTCAACTGACAAAAAAAAAAACAAACCTAAAAATGTGCGTCTACAGAGATCCATCTGCCCACTTTGTTGAGTAACCACAAGCAATGATGACTGTGGAATGGCCATGCTCACTGCGATCTGTACTTGGCAGGTAGTTTTAGCGTATTATGGGAATCTGAGTTCACAGAACTGCTGGCACCACTGGCCTATCCTATGGAGAGTTGGATCAGCTGCCGTATTATTACTCCATCAGGTGCCCTCTGATCTCTACTAGAGATAAGACCTATGGGTCTCCCTTGAATTTGCTGACACAAAGCCATCAGTTTTCTGCTGTTGGCACTATCCCAGTCCTTTCACTGATCAGACTTGCTTAGTCGTGGAATCTCTATTTGATGCGCTGCTGGACACAGCATCCGGTATTTTCTGTGGGATTCTGGCATCGATGTTCACTCAGGAGCTGCCTTTGAGCTCCAGGCCACAATCAGGGGGAACACGTTAATCTAGACCTGTAAGATGGGTCTGGAAGACCTTACCTTCTATGATCTGGAGACATCTAGTAGCCTTACAAGTTTGTTATTTGATTGAAGGTACAGGACCGGGAAGTGCAATAGCCCTTTCTACCTGACACTTCTTCAGGGCTCCTTTGTGACGAGCCCTCCCCATTCCCTTTCCTGGTCCATTTTGGGTCACAACCTGTCCCTTGAGCCAAGGGCACTGCTGGGGAGGATAGGGCCTTCCCCATAACTGTGGCCTCTCCCTTGATCTCCACTCAGGCCATTTTGTTTCTTAAATTGGCTTCCAATTCCTGATCTTCCCAAATAAACTTTATAGAAGGTTTTTATTTCCTTCCCCACGTCTCCATCTTTTAGCTTTGTAAGTCCTTCCTACTAGCCTCTCTGGTATACTATTTCTATGTTTTGGGAAGGTTCTTTAAAGCCAAGTCCACATGTGATTCACAAACTGTCCCAGTCTTTACACAGACACTAGCGTCTGTTCTATGCTTTGTCGAGGTGCTAGGAGTGTGGCGCCCAAAAAGTATCCAGGTACTCTGCAGCCCGTAGGTCTCATCCGCCTGCCATTACTAGTGTACTGGCCGACATTTGCACGTGGCTATGGCTTCATCCTTGGGTGCTACTGGCCCAGACAGCCTTCCAGATGCCATTACCATGCCGCATCGGCACAGGTGGGCACAGCCTACAGGACCCATCCGGACTCAGGATGGGAAAACTGTGCTGTGTTCAGCCTGGACTTCCACCTGAGGTCCCCGTAGCACTGACAGTGCTGGTACAGAGCACAGAGGCAGACAGGGAGTCAAGCAAAACTCTTCAGGTGCTTAAATTCTGCAGAACTGGATTTAATGAAGTTTGCCCCCCACCAAAAAACGGGAAGAAAACATATTGAGCCCTAAGACTACACAAAGCAAATAACGAATCCCAGCTGCTGCAGGCCCCGAGTTAAAGCAATGCCAAAAAATACAACGCATGTGCTCTGTGGTACACTTGCCCAGCACCACCAAAAAACATTTTTTTAAAAGTTTTCCCCTTTCTAGATTTTGTCTCCAATCTTCCTGTCGCTTGGTCATCAATCCATCAGCTCTCTGGCCTGCTGTCAACTCCAGTCCCAGGCCACTTCCTTCTGCAGGGGGCGGGGGTAGTCACACTGAGGACCCAGGAAGATCCTGCTCATGTCTTTCCAATCACCTCATTTCACGTGCTTCTTAAAGGATCATGGAGTCAAAGCAGTATTTAAACCAAGCTTGGTGTATTCAGTTTGTCTATGGCTCCTGCCATGGCTCAGACCCTGCTTTAATTTCCCCCGTTACTCTGGGAAGTCCTACCTGGCTCAATCCAATGGTACCACTGTCCCCTTAGCCTCACCAACCACTGTGGAAGTTACGAAGCCACCATCCCCAAGCCCAGAATGCAACTCCAGAGCTTTAACTGCTACCCCTACCTACAAGTTACCACAGACACCCACGTCCACACTTCCCGTTTCCCGAAGCCCTGGGCACTTTCACCTCCAGCAAGGCCTCACCCACTCAGCCTAACTCCAAGGTCTACAGAGCCCACAGCCTTGCTCCTCCTCCCTTCATTCACCCATCTGTAACCCACTGGGGCATATGCTTCTGAAAGGTGAAGGCCATGTCCCCTGCCCACTGCACCCTGGAGCTAGAATGGACCAACAGCAGACCTTGAATGAAGTAAGATTTTTCTCACTTGGCCAAGGCCCTGTAGCGCATGCCTGTAATCCTAGCTACTCGGGAGGCTGAAATCTGAGGATCACGGTTCAAAGCCAGCCTGGGCAGGAAAAGTCCTTGAGACTCTTATCTCCAATAAACTACGGGGGGGGGGGGAAATGGAGCTATGCGTCAGGTGGTAGATCACTCGCCTTGAGCTGAAGAGCTGAGGGACAGTGCTCAGGCCCAGAGTTCAAACCCAACCAGCCAAAAAAAAAAAAAAGTACTTACCAGAGACCGTCATAACTACTTGAAACTATCAAGGATCCATCTCGATTAAAATGAACCTAAAAATTCAAAATTCAGAGAGGAATAAAGAGAAGCTTACTTCTCAGCCATGAACACACGGCTTCTCACCCCAATGCCCTTCTGCTGAGAGCGGATGGCATGCAACAACAACGGATCATTGCGCAGATGCACTAACAGGATGGCTGTGGTTACGTGATGTCTCGTGGGTTTTTTGGGGTGTGTGTGTGTCTGTGTGTGTGTCTGTGTGTGTCTGTGTGTGAGAGAGAGAGAAACAGTCCCAAGTCTTGAACATGGGGCCTGGGTGTTGTCTGAGCATTTTTGCTCAATGCTAGCTCTCTATCTCCACTTCTGGTTTTTTCCTTTTTCTGGCGGTTAACTGCCCAGCTGGCTTCAAACCTTCATCTTCAAATCAGAGCCTCCTGAGTAGCTGAGATTACAGGCATGAGACACCAGCACCTGGTTCTTTGTTTTTGACTGAGTGGTGTACACTGAGCACGAAGCACTCTGGGGACTCCATCCCAGCACCCACTGTTCTCACCAACAAGCCACTGCCTCCGCCCCAGTCATCAACCAAAGCTACTCCACTCAACATTCACCTCACCTGTGGTCACACTCCCATTCCCTTCACCAGAGAACCTCTCAGGAGACCACCTCTGAAACCCCTAGCCTACCTTCCTGCTCAGTCCCACATAAGGCTCTCAGTGCTCACCACAGGCACCCCGTCCACCCACTCTCCACAGAATACAGGACTGAGAGGTCTCACGGCACCAGCCCCCAACCTCTAGTCACCTAAAGAATCACCTGGACACAGCAAGCACGTCAGAGGCCCACAATGCATGGCAGAAACTTACGGCTGACACTGGATCTGAATGAGCAGGCAAAGTCTTGAGGCACTTCCCGGTCTTCACGTCCCATATCCTCACACTTTCATCAAACTATGTGAGAGGGGATGAAAATCATTCCAGACCTCAAACCCAGCCCCACCTCCACCCATGATGAGCATGGCTGTGACCTACCACAGCGCCCCCAGAGGAGAGACCATGTACTTACAGACCCTGAGACGATGAGGTTGGACTGGGGGTTGAAGTTGCAGCAGAAGACATAGTTGCTGTGCCCCTTCAGGGTCTTCAGACACTTTCCCTAGAGCACAGCAGGGTCAGGCCACCTGCTCCCAGCCCCAGCTGACTACCTCCTGCCCTTCCCTAGCCACAGGAGCCTCCCTGGGAAAGGACCAATGCCTTACCGAGCTCACATCCCATATCTTCAACGTTTTGTCATCAGAGGCAGACACCAGGAGGTTGGAATCCGACGACCAGGCTACATCAGATATTCCCTTGGGAAGGAGAAAAAAAAAAGTTACTGTATTTTGGGACAAAATTGAACTGACCGATAAAGGGCCAAAATCCCACAGCAGGGAATCAGGGGCTATCCAATCTTAGCTATTCAGGAGGCTGAGATCTGAGGATCGTGATTCAAAGCCAGCCCAGGCAAGAAAGCCTGTGAGACTCTCATCTCCAGTGTAAAAAAGCTGGAAGTAGGGCTGGGAAGGTGGCTCAGTGGTAGAGCGCTTGCCTTACATGCATGAGGCCCTGAGTTCGAATCCTCAGCACCACATAAGCAGAAAAAAAAGCCACAAGTGGCTCAAGTGGTAAAGCGCTAGCCTTGAGCTGAAGAGCTGAGGGACAGCACCCAGGCCCAGAGTTCAAGCCCCACGACCGGACCAAAAAAAAAAAAAAAAAGCTGGAAGTAGAGCTGTGGCTCAAGTGATAAAGCACTAGACTGAAACACCAAGGCCTTGAGTTCCAGCCCCTCCCCAAAAGGGGAGGGGAGGGGAGGGGATCCCAAACACATGCCAGGCCCCGGCATATGGTCTGGCCAGCATTAACTCAGAAGATGTACACTCAGGGTACAGGGATGAGCCATTCTCGGGGCTCTGCCAGACCCAGAGATGGCCACATGCACACCTGTAGCAATCCAAGGTGCCTTCACTAAAAACCAATCTTGCCTCGTTGCCCTGTACAACAGCCAGGACTTCTCATGCAGGAACCTACCAGCTTGTGACCAGATATGGTTTTCTCAAACTTTCCATCGTAGGCTCCCCAAATTTTAATGAGTTTATCGGCAGCTGAAAGAAATAAAAAGAGCTAAGGCTCAGAAGAAAAACAACTGTGCAGGACTAAGCTTCCCTGCTGAGCCTAAAACCAACACCGACGTTCCCACACTGAGCCTAGCCTTGAGTGGGGAAAGGCTGGAGTCTCAGCCCTCAGCTCCCAGAGGCAATGGGCACAGTCTCAGGCCACAACTAGCTCTGAAGAGAACATGTAGCACACTACAGGACCCCATGGCAGACTAACGACGCTACATAACCCACCCATACGCACTCAGAGGACCCATACGCACACGAGCTTGCCAGCCACTCTCCATTCGGGCTGAATTTCACAGAGGACACAGCTTTGGTGTGGCCAGCCAGAGTGAATTTTAGTGCATAGTTGGGTTTAACAGGTGTAGGCTGTTGGAGAAATAGTAGAACCTGAGTTAGCTAAATGTAAAACCACAGTCCCATTCATTCAGTCAGTCAGCTGACTTGATTCCCAAAGTTTAACTCAGCCTTCCAACTGACTGCACCTGAGTGCGATGCGAGGCCAGTCCCCACCTCAGCACCCCACCTCCATCATCCAAGCTGGACGTCAAAGCCCCCACAACAACACCTGGCACTGCTGAGCTGTGCCCCTTCCACCTCCACAAAGCCATCTGAAGCCAGGGCTCCCCCTGTTTAAAAGCTCCTAGTTGCCTGGAAAGGAGTCTGCATACCTACCAATCCCACAACTGTGAGACTTGTCCAGATTTGGATCTCACAAACTTTTACAATCTTCACCAAGAACCTGTGTATTTTTATGCCCCACCTCTTCCATCTAAGTGACAGATTTGAGACTTCCTATCATTACATCATGAGATCAGTAATACAACTGGTAACATATTTAACTGAGCGCCAATAGCCCTGGATTCCTTAAAGCCTGTTTGGCCAGAGGGGCCCAAGGAGCCCAGGCGCGCACCTTGCTCTGGGTGGCCGATGAGGAAGGGGTGGGTTGTGCTCTTGCAGCTTCTGTCTCTGGCTTCTTCTCCTCAGTGGCCATGGCTCAGAAGCCCACGGGCAGAAGCTGTGGATGGGATTCACACAGCAAGAGGCTGTCTGCTAGTCCAGCCCTACAGTGGAAAGACCTATAAACAAATCATTTATTGTAAAGAATTAGAAGACTGCCGGGCGCCGGTGGCTCACCCCTGTAATCCTAGCTACTCAGGAGGCTGAGATCTGAGGATCTCGGTTCAAAGCCGGCCTGGGCAGGAAAGTCTGTGAGACTTTTATCTCCAATAAACTACCAGAAAACCGGAAGTGGCGCTGTGGCTCAAGAGGCAGAGCGCTCGCCTTGAGCTGAAGAGCTGAGGGACAGCGCCCAGGCCCAGAGTTCAAGCCCCATGACCGACCAAAAAAAAAAAAAAAAAAAATAGAAGATTGTCAGGGCTGGGGGAGGTGTGACTTGCTAGCATGTAAGAAGCCCTGGATCTGAGCCTCAGCAGCACAAAAAAAAATTTTTCTATAATTTCATGAAAAGGGATAAAAAGAGAACCACGCGGGCTGGGAAGGCGGCTCAGTGGTAGAGTGCTTGCCTCACATGCATGAGACCCTGGGTTCGATTCCTCAGCACCACATAAGCAGGAAAAGCGGGAAGTTACACTGTGACTCAGGTGGTAGAGCGCTAGCCTTGAGCTGAAGAGCTGAGACACAGTGCCCAGGCCCAGAGTTCAGGCCCACAACCAACAAAGAGAGAAAGAGAAAGACAGAAAGACAGACAGACAGAGACCATTCAGCCACCATATTGAGCTCTACATACAGCAAGCAATGTGCTGTTCCAAACTGGGGAATCTAGCCATTATCCTCACTCCAGGCTAATACTTTTCACTCGCTCTGCTGCTTGTGCCCCTTGAAATCCCAAGGAAGACCACTCTTGAGAAGGCTTGCTACTATGTTATGCCAAGTAAAGCAGAGGGAGCTTCAAGGTGGCATCTGGAAGCTTATCCAAATGTCCTCTTATCTACAACACAGAACATGCACCCAGCTGCTGCCTCAAAGACTGCAGATCATGGCCACCTTCTAGGCCACCAGTGCAGTGCTAAGATCTGCAGCAGCAAACCAGAGGGCTCTCTCTCTCTCCCCCTCTGGAGGTTCCCTGCTGACTGTAAAAACAGTCCAGAGTATAATGCTGAAACTCTACAATTGAAATGCAGCTTAGTCTAGTTTGGGTTTCATGAGGTATAGCCCCAAGCCATGAGCAACAGTAACCCCCATCCTAGTGACCGACAGATACTGCTACTTCACTGCAGCTCACAAAGCACACAGGTGACTCTGAAATGGGGAGTTTATTAAAGAGAGCCACCTTGTAAATGTCACTAGTCACCCCAACCATTAACCTAATGAGCTAGTACCCTGTAAATTCTAGCTTAGAGCTTAAAACTGAAATCTTGCCAGGCTCCACATAACACAAAGGTAAAATGGATGCCATCAAAAGGAATCTGTCAGCCAGTGCCAGTGGCTCCTGTCTCTAATCCTAGCTAGTCAGAAGACTAAGATCTGAGGATCTCGGTTCAAAGCCAGCCTGGAGCAGCAAAATCCATGAGCCTTATCTCCAAAAAACTACTCAGAAAAAGCCAGAAGTGGCATTGTGGCTCCAGTGGTAGAGCAAAGAGGTTCAGGCCCAGGCCCAGGCCCAGGCCCAGGTCCTGAGGAGAGGAAGGGCTTGTCCAAGCCAGACAAGCTCACCCCTATTCTCCTAGTTACTCAGGAGCTCGAGATTGCAATTTGAAGCCAGCCAGGGTAGAAAAGTCTGTGAGACTCTTATCTATAACTACCAAAAAGCCAGAAGTGGAGCATGAGCCTTGGGTCAGTCATGGGCCTGAACTCTGGGCCTGGGTGCTGTCCCTCAACTCTTCAGCTCAAGGCTAGTACTCTCCCTCTTGAGCCACAGTGCCACTTCCGGCTTTTTCTGCTTATGTGGTGCTAAGGTATTGAACCCAGGGCCTCAAGCGTGCACGTGCAAGGCAAGCATTCTACCACTGAGCCACCTTCCCAGCCCTGAGCCTTGGGCTTTTAACCAACAAAAAGTCAGAAGTAGAGCTGTGGCTCAAAGTAGTGGAGTGTAGGCCTTGAAAAAAACTAAGGGACAGAATCTAGGCCTTGAGTTCAAGTCCCAGGACCCACAAAATTGTCTTCACTTTCTGCCAAGGAAGAGTTGTTTTGCTGAAGGGGAGGATCTAAGGGGTTTAACTCCCTCCAGCACTAGAAGGTGGTGAACACCAACAAGAAGCCCAGGGGTGGCGGGAGGGGGGAGCAAAACATTAACACATTAAAAACCTACTCCACAGGGTGGGCCCCAAGGTCTTGAACCCTGGGGTGGAAATGCGAGTGGGGGAGAGGAGGAGAGAGCCTTGGAGCAAAGGTTTCCCGTAGCAGGGAAGGGTGCACCGCAGGTATACTTCGGGGCTTGGGAAGGAAAAATGAGGAGCAGGAGGCAGGCCAAGCGACTTGGCTTTGGCCCCCACAGCTTCTCCCCTAAGTGAGCCTAGTCAGTGAAGGCCCAGCAATCAGCTCTTCATGTGCTCTGCCTTGGGCCAAATGCAGAGTCCAGGGCTCCAGGTGCGAGGAGACAGAGGGCAATGTAAACGGGCAGTGTAGGCGACGGGAGGCGCAGAGGGCCGGGGACCCAGCCGGGGCACCGCAGTCCCAGACACCTGACTGGATCCCGGGGCTCACCTGCAGCCTTCCCGAGGGGGAAGCTCCCGAAGGACACCTTCCCCAGGCCCAGCCCGGAAACCTTTAACCGGGGGGGACAGGCGGACTCGGCGGAGGACGCGTGAGGGGCGTGCGGGCAGCGCCCAAGATGGCTCTCGCGGACCAGAGCGGAGGGGCTGACAGGACCCCCTGCAAAGGGGTCGCGGTCCCCTCTGCGGCGACACAGGAAGGGGCTGGCGGCCGGCGAGGGCCCCGCGGGGCGGAGGCGCCCCACAAGGCCCG